ATTGGTATGATAAACTGATCCAGATCAGTCTTCTTACTAGAAAATGGCCACACCCACATTTGTAAAACAGAGACATTAAATTGTTTTTATATTGTGGTTTTACTATGTTATTGGTATGATAAACTGATCCAGATCAGTCTTCTTACTATAAAATGGCCACACACACATTTGTAAAACAGTGACATTAAATTGTTTTTATATTGTGGTTTTACTATGTTATTGCACTCATGTTACCATATCAAGTAACATAAAACTGACCTTTGGTCTGTACAAAGTAACTTGTCTTGGCTGTGTTTTAGTAGAGTAGTATTTTGTAAAATACAGTCAATTTTCAATTATTATATATTATATATATGTATATAGATTATTGCTATTTTGAAATAAGTTCTTAAACTTATTTTTCTTAAAACATGTACTAAAGTCTATGATGCCCATCACAGAATACATATAATACACAATAAAGAATATATGTAACATATGTGTAATGTTTTTTCTTCTAGAAATGTAAACTAACAAACCAATCAAAGCTAAAGAAAAATAAAAGTTCTCAGTGAGTAAAAGAGACAGTTTCTCTTAAATGTATCTTTCTCATCTGATGAAGATGGCATTCTGTCAGAGGAATCTGAAGATGATACTTGTGTTTCAATGCCTCTGACAGAATCTGTCTATAAAAATAGATGGCTTCAAAATCTAGAACCAGCTTTTCTTGATTCTGTCTTATGGACAGATCAGGAAGAAGCTGGTGAAAGATCTCCATCGAATGAGGATGTTCTAAAATCACCCAGACCGAGAATGTCCAAACAAGCTATAAAGAAGAGACATAACTAAGAGGAGTAGGGGAAAATGTAAAGTTGCAGTGTCTACTAGGACTGCTCCTTCCCACAGGGGAGGCCTCTCACCTGCAATGACACTTGGATCTGGGTGCAGATTGCCGAGGAGGAGCAACCCCATGTACCTCCAATTTAATAGAGGTGAACCTGTGTCCCAAAAGGTCACATCTTCAAATAAAAGTTATAGATTTCTTTAAACATTTATTCACTATCAAAACTTTAAGTCTGACTGTTTGTGAAACAAATCAGTGTACAAAATGTAAAAAAGGTACAACAGGAAGGCAAACCTCCAAGAAAAAAAAATTTAAAGGTTCTAAAGAGATTTTAGCAAACTTTGGTCTAACAGTAGCTATAAGACTCGAACCTTATCCTTCTCTTTTTGACCACTACCTATCTTCCTTTTCATACTCCATGGTTCTCTAACATCTGCTCTAAGGACAGATTTTTAGCTATCCATACCAACTTACATTTCAATAAGCAATACTAATGCTTAATACATAAAGCAGACAGTTCTTGTGCATAAATGTTAAATACAATAATAAAATGAAAATCAATGTTTTTTAATTGCACAATCATTTATTTGTAAAGATTAAAGAGTTAAAATATACAAGTTAACAGAAACTTAAAACTCTACATGTTTTGGTGTAAATAATCTCACCATCTTCAGGAGAATCCATCAAGAAGTACACATAATGGTGCTTATAAACCTAAGGTATGTGTATAATTAGCATATATGTACAACGGAGCCATTTACAACAATGATTTCCAAAAATTTATTTCGGTGGCTCCTGGGCCTAGATCTCTATTTAATTTATTTTGTTTTTAATAATTTCTAAATATTCTCTTATATTCAATTCAACTTTTTCCATTAACTATTTAAACATTTTTACATTATCCCAATCAATAATATGTTTAAAATTCACCACGTGTTCTGCAAAAGCCGATTCACCTGTTTTTAACTTATCCATAGCATTTTGATGTTCTTTTACTCTAAATTTTAAGTTCCTACTTGTCTGTCTAATAGACCACAAGTACATCAAATTTTGTCTTTCAAACCATTAATTATATGACTTAATTTTAATTGAGGAGTAAATGTTACTTGGTAATTCAAGTTTTGCCTAAACACATTACCTATTTTTATTGACCATGGTAAAACATGGGGCAGACATATTCTTTCTCTATTTTCCTTTTTTTGTTATTTCCAGTTTCGTACATCCAGAAATTTGAAGTTTGTTATAATATTTACTGTACATCCTATCTATGATTTGAGGTAGCAATTGATATAGGGTAGAAATGGTTTCTAACTGATTTGTCAATGTTCTTAAGCACCAACTCTGAACATTGAACAACAGACATTTTGGTTATTCCTTCCAGAAATGTTGTTGATCTCAAGAGAAACATGCTTCACTGCTTTAAACTAAATTACTGTTGTTGTTTTGTCTAGTTTTTAACATATTTTTAGGTGGATGGGGGTATTTTTTATAGTGTAGAATGTTTTAAAATTCAAGATGGTAAATTTATGAAACCTTTTTTTATATAAGATCAAAACAACGAAGCCTGCAGAATTGTCAAATGGCTGTTTTTGTAAAGGAATCATACGCAACTGCAGTTATAATGCTGACTGATGTCTGATTTATGGAGTTTTTTTTATTAGATTACCACATTTAAATACATTCAGTTAAAAAACTATGAATATATGAAAATATTATACTAATCAAAATAATTTTTATATTAAATGGTAAGAAATTAATTCCTTCTATACAAGATAATTTTAATTTTTTTTTACCTTTACTATTACCAGATTACTCTTAAGTTTCAATAGACACTTTAAAATTTACAATAAATTATAATTTTTAATGTAAATTATTTTACAAAATATTACTGAGAACACCTAAAGCAACATACCTTAAGCACTTTTGAAGAGCATTTTGCATGAACTTCGTTTTTGGGTGTAAAGGGTCCAAGTTAGCTGCAGGTTTCCAATCATCCCAACTCCAACGGAACTGAAAATTATTCAAATGGTAGGCAAACCAGCTTGCAAACCTGGAACGCAGTACGAAAAATGTACAAATGACTCACACAAGTTAATAAAACCATGAAGAATAGAACCGTTAAAACACTGCAGATACCATATACTGTGTAATGCATTATAATTACAACAAAACTTTACTAGAAATAATGTATGTATTGAGTGAAACATTTGAATCATGTATAATGGCAAGTAGATTTGAGCTCAGGCAGACATACAAATGTATCTTCATCTGTGTATGCACATGTCCTGTTACACAAGTTTGAATCGGGTAACTTAGGTAATTTTCACAAACTACAACCACTCAACAGAATACTCATCTACAGTTAAAATCTATGTAATTACTAGTAAAAGTAAGCATCACTGATATATTCATCATGTTAAAATTCCTTTTAGGAAACCACTATATAAAATGCTTACTGCTAGAAAATATTTATTTTACCCAAACTATTTTATGTCTATCATTACGGCCACTTATGCTCTGAATGCTCACAACATTTTTTAAATTGAATTATATCAAGAACCTCTGGTACAATTAAAACCTCAAAGCAAGAACTCACCTGTCAATACAGTCTACATTCATGGTGTCAAGCCTGTCATACAACATCTCTACAGCTTGGGCAAGCTAAGACAATGAATCAAGGAATATATATCCAACTGATAAGTAAAATTAATAGCTAGTCATTCCTAGTAGCATTTTTCATCTATTTCTAATGATAAAAATATAAACAAGATAAATGACTTACGTTGTTTTTTGTTAACTTATGCAGGATAAAGCTATGTTTGGGAAATAACATCTCTTATCAGGTTCAGCCAAAAAATTAAAAATATTTCCCACATTCTCAAATATTCTTCTTTGAAGCTAGGTCTGGGGTTAGGGTAAAACATCTCTAATAATGATTTATGACTATAGAGGGTAGCATATCATCAGTAGTGCACTGTAATTAATCTTATGACAACTAATTTGATTGGTAAAGATAAAAGTGGGTATGTAGAGTTGTTAGTATTCAACATCCAATGAGAAACTGTTAAGAACGAGAGAGTGTTCTTTATTGCCTTTCTTATCTCATATCATAGAAACTTACTTTGGTAATTGGTCAATCAAAGATTAAAACTGGTCTGATGATTTGATATTAATACATACTTGAGTAAAGTCATTGCAGCTGGTGTTTATAATATGGTTTGTACAAGCCCTTTATTAAGTTCATAATACAATTAGTCGTTAGTAAATTCAAACTACTGTAGTTGGCCAAGACAGATAAAATACAAACTACTGCACTGAAAGAAAAGTTAGTATACAACTCTGATGTGTCTGATATACATGTGTATTTCTCACAATTTCTGCAGCATTTTAAACATAATCTATCTACACCACTGTTTGTTTTTGTAAAGTATTTCTTAGATACATTTCCAGTGCAACTGATGATCGCAAACTAAATACAATGTTTAGTTCTCTTCAACCTTTATTTATTTTCAAAGTTGAAAGAGTTATTTTTTTTGGCTATATATAAGCAACAAATAAGGGCTGTCTAAAAAATATCACAGGCTCTTCTTCTCTAATAAAATTCTGGGGAAATTTTTTTTATTCAAATGTATTTAGTCAAAACACCTTATCTAGTACAAATATGAAACAACTTTTTTTTTTAAAATTGGACTTTCCCTTAGCAGAATAGACTGTCTAAAACAAATTATAAAATGCTAGAAAGATATGAAGTATTTGTACAATGTATAGTTTATAAATGTATTTGTTCACCAGTTATAAATATAACTTATGTACTTACTAGCACTGTAAGATGTAACAATGTCACCCCTTATCTATGCAATGGCCTCTTTCATGACAAAAGTTTATATACAAGTGAACTAATTCAGAAATAATTATACATGTAATGCTTGTTTTTGAAAGGTAGAAATATAACTGCACATTAAAAATTTTCATGAAGTTATTGTTGTTTATTAGAAAATATTACTAAGTCAAGCATCTCCTATGATATCCTCAGTGTTGTGCTGTCTCATCATGTTTTTTTCTATGTAGATTTTGCAATAAATCAATGAACGAGATAAGCTGCATGTATTAAAACAATACAATAAACTTAGCTTGTTTCCAAGTTTTGAAACAAGCACAAGGTTGACATTCTCCAAGTATCCAAAAGAGTTATATATTACAAACCAACAGAATAAAATAGGTGACTTAGAACTTGTTTGGATTGCGTGGTCTTCTTCCCTCTCCTTACCTTCCTCTCTGTTGGTAATCTTGGTTTTTCTTTGAATATATCTACATAGTAAAACCACAGTATAAAAACAATTTAATGTCACTGTTTTACACATGTGGGTGTGGCCATTTTCTAGTAAGAAGACTGATCTGGATCAGTTTATCATACCACATGAGCCACATCATTGTAACTTCTGTACTGATAGCCAGGCATGGGTGAAATGTCAGTATAATAAAAATAATAAATATATATAAATGTATAATGTTATGAGATTTAAGCTATTTAGTCTAAACATTTATATTTTTGTGTTCTAATTTCTGTTCCTTCTAGAATGTAAGAGGCATAATTTATATTTATTTCCTAATTTTTTATGGTGGTTGCAAGATTGGTCAAATCTACCAAAGCCATACAGAGATTAATTACTGACAATAACTGATAAAATATGAAGTTTTTTCTTAAGAAACATTTAATAACTGTCTTGAGATTATAAAGATTTCACATGTGAAATTTCAAATTTTTCTGATGCATAAAAGTATTTTTAATCTTAAAATGAATATTACTTTTCATGATAGATAGGCAACATGCAAAAGAAAAAAATGGATATGAGAAAAACACTGCTTTATAAACCTTAAGACTTCATGAAAAAATTATATTAAGCGTATGGAAGCATTGTAATGTTTACTGATAATCT